CAGTGATGAGCAAACGGGAAGGGTCTGATGAATACATAGGTCAGGGGAGAATGGGATGGCGTCTAGACAGGGAGAGGAATCATCAGAAATTAAACATTTATTTAACACCACGCCTGTGGGTGTAGTCACCTGTACACACAGCTTGCTGAATTAACTTTGTGTGTGAGCATCTGGTGGTATTTTATCCATACGAAGGCTGCAGGAACCTGTGAATATCTAGATCAGAGCCTTTGTCATTGTTCTGCTTCCTTTGTGCTATCTGGGTTATGCAAGAGTAAAGCCCATTTAAAAGACCAGCTATAGCATGTGAATGGTTGCTTTATACCATGAGAAAAAATAAAACTACTGTATTTTTTTAAAAAAAACTTCGCTGAAACTGGCTAGATTTTGTGGAACATTTGTTCATTATTTTTGGCTTTTGTGGGATGACTGAGAGCCATCTTTATCCACGCTGAGATGTACCTTCCTCCTCAGGTGGTCCCTTTGATTGAAGCTGTGCTCAGCTACTGCTCTGTGGGGCAGATCCCAAGGCCACACCACATGAGCTCAAAGCTTGGCACATTATCTCTCTGGCTGAGGTCAAAACACACACTTGTGTGTGGCTTGTGGATAAATAAATCTGACCCTGCTGTTTTAATATCTGTGTGCCTTTGGAGTTTCTGGCTCAGCACTGCTGTCTTGCTGGTCTGGTGTCAGGATACGAAATTCTCTGATGTTCTTCTGGCATAGGTTGCTCTGGTGTTATGGGCTGATGTGAAGGCAAGCCTTGTTTGATGGCCACAGCATCTGTTCTTCTAGAGTTTGAGCTCTGACACCAAGTGATGAACTTCTTTCTGACATCCTGAGCTCAGGCATGGGCTGATAATGATTCGCAACTAATGTAAAGGCTTTGCATTTGTTGATAGTATATGGTACAGGGGACTAAGGAGAGCAGTTCTTGTGTTTTGGAAGGCTAGTGTGATGTGCCTTTCTCTGTTTGGTGTTTTATGTGGAAATCCCAGTAGGTGGTTCATTCGGTCAAACCCAGCAGACTGAGGTCCAGGCAAAGATTATAATTACTGGTTCAGTACCCTTATTGCCAAGGCTTATGGCTAGATACAGGTCTCCGCAAAGTCTGTAATCTCAAGAGCTTGCTGGGGCTGCATAAAGAGCCCAGCAGCTGTGAGGTTTCAGAACACTACTTTAATGATGCCAGGACACAGACTTTTCAGAGCAAATTATTGTCCCTACAGTTTCCTGAGCTTGTATTAAGAGGCAAGCACACACAGAACTTGAGCTTATTCTCTTCTGCATGGAAGTCCAGGCTTCCACGAAGGCTCTGTCTCTATTTCTAGCACGTCAGGGTGATTTTGAAGGACTGGCATTCTTGAGCATAAAGACCCCAACCTTTTAAATGACTGCTGTGGTGTCAGACTACTGGCATTTTGGATCGTGTTTTCTATACTTATTCCAAAAGCCAGCTTTCTGTTAGATCTTGTCCATTAGGTCTTGGGCTTGGGTTTAGACTCACCAGACTTGTAACAAGGAGCAAAACCAAGTCAACTGCGATGGTGCTGCTAGGCTGTCACATCTCTGCTCAACTGTTAGCGTTTCAGGTGCTGGTGCAGTCTTGTTTGTTCTGTTTTCTGATGTAATAACTACAGATGTGCTTTGACATCTGTTACTGACTTAGCACCTCAGACATACTGGGTTTGTGGACGAGGTCATGCTGTACTCAGAGATTTGTGGTTTAGCATCTGCACACTTCTCATCTGATATCAGGGCACAAGGAGGATGTTGGTGGCTTATATGGTCACCATTTTTGTTAGTAGTTTATGACCTTCTTACAAGTCAGGCCAGTGCTTGTGTTTAATCAATGTTTTAGCAGACCATTTTGAGGCAGGCACTGCAGTCATTTGTTAATACAACAGTTTCTCAAATCTTAAACCTTTGTTTCATTTCCTGAAATCGTGCATAGTATTACCAGCAGTATAATATAAGCTAAATATGATCTGAGTTTTCCTGCTCCAGTTGCAAACCTATTCTAATTTCTCCACTTGTTCTTGGATTTATTCCTGGAAATACTGCTCTTCTACTTGCATTACACAGGTGCAAAGCTAGCAGAAAGATTGCAGAATCCTTCTGCCCTGTCATCTCAGTCCTGGTCTGCTGCACCAAAAAGGGTTGAAAGATTTGAATCATAGAGACCCTACTGGTCTGAACACCAGGCAAGGAAAGAAAAGGGCTGAACCACTGAGGCCATATCAGCACAATCCTGGAGAAGAGAGAAAAATCTGTTTTGTAATACGTAGAAATATACAGTAGGCAGCTACAGATTCCATAAAGCATTATTAGGGATTTTAAATTATTACATCTGATGATCCATGTAGAGTATAACCAATTTGTCAGGGTAACTGTAGTAGCTACATGCATGGTTTGAATCTAAAACCTGTGTTTTGCCTTTCGTGAAGCTTTATTGTTTAAAAACTCACCCCAGACTGAGCTGCAAAAACAGGCTAGAAAATGCAGAGTGACTTTGTACTAATTTAATGTAGGTTTAAACTTTTTAACGATGAGTTTGCAAGATTCCAGAGTGCAGATCCTGCTTGATCTTTCTTCATTATTAGCCCCATTTCTAAATGCTAAATTGTCATAATTCGTTATGACAGGAGTCGGTAATCTTACATTTTGGCAGACTGAGGTTCAGGAGCAATTTAGTCCTTTGCCACTGGGAGTCAGGATTTCCTAACCCAAGCAGGTTCACGTTACACAGTGCTCGCAGCCAGTGCTTATTCTTAACTGTGAGGGGAAATACCATCCTCTAACGTCAAAGCCTTTGCATGTTCAGAAAATGCTTTGTGCTAAAGTCGTATACCCTAAAAGTTACCTTTATCTGAAATGTGGTAGTGTTAAACCTGATTTAACCTTTCCTGTGCATAGCTAGGAAATTCTTTTCTAAATGCGGTTCTTGTTGTTTGAGAGTGCATTTAAATCTCACCGTAGTTGCAGTGTCCTACAGAACCTATTTCTGAAAAGGATGCACATTTTCTATGTGGGTGAGGAAGCAAAAGAAGTGCTTAGGTGTGTAGCCTCTTTTGCCTTGAGAAATAGCTGCTGCAGCCTTATGCTTCTGATTAGTCTCGTGTACAGCAGCAAGGGAGAGTCCTCTCACCCAATGGTTAATCATTTTATTAGGTTGCCACAAAGATGTGCTTTTAGCTGAAATCCAATGCAATCTTAGCAACATGAATAATTTTTTACTTGGGTCTTATGAGGGATTTTTTACCAAATGAAATACAGAGACATAGCTGAGATGATATTGAGAAGCCCAGTGAAGCAGAACTTTGTTTTTATCTTGTATGTGACATGGCTGATATTTGGTCTTGGGTCTGAAGGCACAAAAGTTAAAATAATTCCCATCCAAACACCCCCAAATGGCAGAAAGGAGCATGTGACCATGGAAACAGAGACCATGTCTCCGACTGGAAACAGCTTGAGTCAAGCTCATTGTGGACAAAGGGAAATCTGCCAGTATGTATGCAATTAGAGTTCTCTTCCTGAGAACTTCAAATGGAGCCTTTAAAACAAGCTTTCACAACTCCTGAGCATCTAAGTCTGTGCAGCTGTTTTTGGAGCACCGGTCAATTACATTAGACGGTCTCCAAAAGCACAAAATTGTGAGCATGGTCTTTGTGCTGAAAATGCAAGTGGTTGCAGCTGATGCATTTAATAGGTGGTCTGCCCCTCATACTCTTGATGTAGCAAATTTTTGAACAAAGGTCCTTATTCCTTAACATTCTGTGCATTGTTTCAGAAGAGCCCAACAGGACAAAGTGTTTCCCTTAGATAGGTTTAAGGAGAAAGCATTGCAAGGAGTCAGCTATGGAAATGAATGGGTCTTTGGTGTGTGGCCTTTGCTGGTTAGCTTCTTCTTCTAAGCAAACCTGGTACTTTCAGGTGACATCAGCTTCATCTTTTGTGCTGACTAGTTTAGCTCCCTTTCTCCTTGCTCTCACGGGCATTTTTCTAGTTTCAGCTTTATCTTTCTTTATGCACACAACTCTGTTCGGCTTCCACTTGTTAATAACTTAGTTTCAAAAGCTGGAGCCATGTTTTCCTCTCAGGCTTTGCCTAAAACTCTTTAACTGATGGGAATGGGAGGCCTCAGGAAAACAGGAGAAAACCATTCTCTGTTTGTTCTGCATTTGTTCTGCATATGGTAATACCAAACTGACTATAAATGGAGTGTTGTGTTAAATAGTGTTCGCAGCTATAAACTTCAACTATTGCCAGCATCTTTGTGAATGTACATTTCTGTATATTCTGTATGTACATACTGTATACATACATACTGTATTTTGAGTTTTGATGCATGGACTTCACTTTTTTTCCTTGGTTTCTTTTTTTTTTCCTTGCTTTTTTTTGTTTTAGTTTGCATCTAATGGAAAAAAGTTAAAGTTTATACATCTGACCTGTGTCAGATTTTATTTCTATTTAAAAAATATGAATAAAGTCCAAAGTCCAAATCCTTTCAAACTCTTGAGCCTTCAGTTCAATATGCTTAATCTACTTCCTCTGGATAAAAAATGTGAGGGTGGATGGTGATGTTGTAAAATGGCTGGGAAGTCATCAACATATTCAGCCTCCAAAATCCAAGTAGAAATAAAAATGTGTTTCTGGGAACTTTCATGTTGCTTTCACTCCCTGCAGACTTTCATTCATTTCAAATTGGCTCAGATTATTTATTTTTCTTCATATTATTGGGATTTGATTGTTGTCCAGCATATTTTTCTTGTAAGGGTCCAAGATTATACAGTGAAGTAGATGTTTTGGAAGACTGTTAGAAGACTGATTATTGTTTGGCCTAGTTTTAATATCTGTTGTTTACCCATTAGGCAGGTGACAGGTGAACAAAAGCAACTTAAAAAATCCATGATTGCTTTTATTACAAAACTGGAAAAAATTGAAAGATTCTTGTCACCTTACTCTTTCCTAACAACTTTTATATTCCTTTCCTGTAGCTGGCAAAACGTGGATTAAATATAGTTATGATAAGCAGAACTCTTGAAAAACTGCAGAGAGTAGCCTCTGAAGTTGGTAAGTGTTTGCCTCAAATTTATCCTCCTGTTTAGCAGGCTGGCTTTACATGGATCTGATGGTCTCTTCCCTTGGTACAGTACCTAGTACAGTAGGCCTCCAGATATTGCTACAGATATAGCCCTAGGTATTGCTCCAATTTTTGCTATTACTGTGTTGCTTGAACCCTTCTAGTTATCGATTGCTTTAAAAATATAAGCTATCATTCAAAAAGCATAATGGATTTAATAAAAAAAAAGTGAATGTGGGTACTTTACTCTCTTCATCTGCCCTTAAAATCTGTAAATACAGGCAAAGAAGATGTAATACTAGAGTTGTTGGAGGGATCTATGAAACAGTTTATGCTTGGAAAAATAAGGTTACCTTTAGGCTAGTTGTTGGAACATGGCAAAGGAGGAGTAAAAATGATATCAAGGTACCTGGTTTGGATTTGGTTTGTTTGTTTGTTTAAGGTTTTCAAGTTACATTTGGCTTTTGGTAAAACAGTTAAAAATAATGTGTCTTTAGAATCAATGTTGCCTTTCTTTTCTCTAAAGGAAATTAGCCATTTACTCTGAGGAATGGCTTGTTGCAATACATTAAGGTCAATGGTTAGGATTTATTTAGGAGTCAGATTAGTTTATACCCTCCGTTAACTTTAAAGATTGATGTAATCAAGGGTATTCTTCCCACTGTCTCTTTTTCTATACATGGCTTCTATCCACCAGATTCCTTGATTCACAGATTCTTGTGTTAAGCATGTGTCACTCCAAGAGTACACCTGTGTCAGAAAGACTTGCCTTTAAGCAGGCTTAGCACCTGACTCCAACAGAGTATCAGGTCCAGGATACTTACCTGCAGAGAGAGCAGTGCATCTCTCTGCAGATATGTGGCAGACTTGAAATAGGTGAAAAAGTCTGTAACTTCTGAACCTGCAGCCACCAAAATCAAAGATTGGACCCTGAAATTTTCTGTCCAATTTCCTTCCCTTTTTTTCCAGGGATAGATTTATTTTCCCTTGGGAAGCAAGGGGTATCAGAGGAGGAAAGCACCAACTCCCTAAATAGTCCCTATAAGCAGTCGTATCTATGAGACCAATGTGACTGTGGACCACACTAGCCTCTCAAGTAAACAGCCATAAAAAAATTATTTCTGTGGGACTTAGGTCAGCTCTGGTGTCTTTGTTGCATTTCTTTGCAGCTAAATGTTAAAGAATTACAATAATAGAAACCTGAAGAAAAAAAGGCTAAAGAGTTTTTATAGTTTCTTTGCATTGTAAGTTATAATCAGAAGGAAAGAATGAAAACAGTAAGATTCCTGAAACTAACATAGCTAAGTAGAAAAAAAGTGGTGGAGGGCTGGAAAGATGACATACTGTCAATTCCTCTGCACTGTAATTTATTATAAGGCCATCCACTGGCCACCTTCCTAATTGAGGCCATACTGTGCTGAACTGCACAGCAGCATGTAATGAAGGACTTCCACGTCCTGAAAGGTACTGCTGAGATAGCCTACCTTGCAAACACTCCTACACCTTGTGCAAAAGTGACCCGTGACTTTTTTTGCATGTGAGGAAGCTTCCCTGACTGCAGCAGTGTTATCTATGTGATCCAAGGTGCTGAGAGGTGGATGGTGTGACCCCAGGAGCAAAGGCTACACTGATCAGGTTCAGCTGGGTTGTGGGCATAGAGTCATCCCTAAAGTTTTCTGAAACTGGTGGCAAATCCCAGTGAGATCTTTCCATTGTTTTCAGTGGGTTTTGGCTGAAGCCCAGAGTGACTTTTCTGTTATCTATTGTGTCAGGTTGGAAATGAGTACATAACAACAAGTAGATGGCACAAACAAAAGTAAGGAGAGGAAGACACAGTGATGAAGAGCATAGAGTATCTGGCCTGGAGGCCACTGGAATCAGCAGCGAGCTCTGGATGTGGGCTTACCTTAAAGCTTTAGAAATGTTCCACTGATTCCAATTTTCAGACTCAGGCTTTACTGTAATTAAGCTAAGCAGTCATTGGGAAGGAAGAAAAGTTAAACTTACTGTGCTGTTATGTGAGTAAATAAACAACAGAAACCAAAAATGAAGCAGAAACTTAACCTAAATGATTGCACTGTTTTCTAAATTTTCTAACCCTCACTGACTTTTCTTTCTAAACTGCTTAAACAAGCAGTATCTCGCTCCGAGCAGCTATCATTACTGTGAATTAACAGGCGAGGAGATTAAGGCATAGAGAGGGAGAGAAAAAAAGTTTCTTGTAGGCTTTGTAAATTTGTTGCAGGACTGGACACATTACTCTTGTTTCCTTTTTCTTAAGAGCTACACCATGTATCTTTTTGCAGTTACTTGGACACCATAATTAAAAGACTTGCCTCCCTTTTCAAACTGATGATATTGTTTGCCTAATCATACTGTGACATTCAGTTTGGGTACCGAAAAAAAATAGAAATTAAAAGAGTCTAAGCTGTAGGTAATTTCAGAGACCTCAGTGTTTAGCTTTCCAAGTCCTGTGGGGCACAGGTGTGCGTGAGAACAGCTTTCAGAGCTGGAGCAGGCAGAAATCCACAGTAAGGAAAACATTTCTCTAAAGCAGCACTGGAATTGAAAACCAGATTTCCATCCACTCAGACTGCAAAGCTCTTTTAGAATGAGATAAAAGATAACAAAGTAAGTCCTGTGGAGGGCAGACAGAGAGGATCATTCATCCTGGTTTCGGCTGGGATAGAGTTACTTTTCTTCTGAGTAGCTGGTACAGTGTGTTTTGGATTTAGTGTGAGAATAATGTTGGTAATTTGCTGATGTTTTAGTTGTTGCTAAGTAACGCTTATCCTAAGTTAAGGATTTTTCAGTTTCCCATGCTCTGCCAGCAAGCAGGTGCACAAGAAGTTGGGAGGGGACACAGCCAGGGCAGCTGACCCAAAGTGGCCAAAGGGATATTCCATACCATAGAATGTCATGGCCAGTATGTAAACTGGGGGGAGTTGGCTGGAAGCGGTGGATCGCTGCTTGGGAACTGACTGGGCATTGGTTAGTGAGTGGTGAGCAATTGTGTTGTGCATCACTTGTTTTGTATATTCCAATCCTTTTATTATTGTTGTTGTTGTTATTATTGTTATTATCATTATTACTTTCTTCCTTTCTGTCCTATTAAACTGTCTGTATCTCAACCTACAAGTTTTACTTTTTTTTCCTCGATTCTCTCCCTCATCCCACTGGGTGGGGGGGAAATGAGTGAATGGCTGTGTCCCCTCCTAACTTTTTGTGCCCTTCCAGCCTTCTTGCTGGCTGGGTATGAGAAGCTGAAAAATCCTTGACTTTGTATAAACACTGTTTAGCAACAACTGAAAACATCAGTGTATTATCAACATTATTCTCATACTGAGCCCAAAACATAGTACTATACCAGCTACTAGAACGAAAATTAACTCGATCCCAGCCAAAACCAGGACAATTATATTTTATTATTATTATTGTTAGGATGACATTTTATTTTACTTTAGTTATTAAATTGTTCTTATCTCAACCCATGACTTTTACTTTTTTTTTTTTCTGATTGTCCTCCCCATGCCACTGTGAGCAAACGTCTCTGTGATGCCTAGTTGCTGGCTGGGCTTACACCATTACACCATCTGTACTGCTCATTTAACACATTTAGTACTGTGGTTGTGAAACATTGATCAAACCATAATACCGGGAGATTAGAAATGATGGAATGTTATTAAATGCACTTCTTTTTTATTTATTTTGCCTACATTTCCTGACAAGCTGTACAGGCATAGCTATGTCCTAATTGAAAAGTTATACCTTAGAATCTACTTATATGACTAGGGTCTGTACTGTTTGGCTGTTAATGTGAAACAAACAAAGCCACTTCTGTAAGACATAAAAATTATTCACAACACGGGTGGTTGGGTTTTTTAGGGTTTGGTTGGTTCGGGGGGGAGGCTTTAGTGTTGGATTTGGGGGTTGGTTTTTTGGTGGTGGTGTTTGGTTTTGGTTTTTTATTGTTGGGGTTTTTTGTGGGTTTTTTTTCCTATTGAGAAGAAAAAAATTTGTATTTTGGGAAAGACAAGGTGTGTGATCCTCAGAAAGCAGTAGAAAATACAGCTTTACCAGTTAAACTAGCTGAGCATGCTAATGAGTTTGGGTTAGGTGATGCAGGAAGTAGCTTATCCACCTCTCCCTCCTGAAATTACGCCTGTTAACATGAAACAAAGCAGTGAATAAAAAAATCATCCCACACGGTTGAGAACAAATTGTACTTTGCTCCCACTAAGACCTGTGAAGGTGCTAATTCATTTAGCTGTCCCACCTGCTAGAGGTTCAGTTTCCAATCTGCTCTACTGGGCGCTATATCTCTTGCCTTTCCTGCTCCAAGAGCAAAGCAGATAACAAGCTGAGATCACTGACTAGCATAAAACAACCCACTTGGCACATCCTTCCTTCATTCTCAAGGCTGTTAAAAATGCCTGTTGTGTCTTGCTGATCCCCTGAGGTAAAGCATTATTGCTCAGGGCTGTTTTCCCAATATGCACTACTACATAACAGAGCACTTGAGGGCCTTGACCAATTTTATGAGTGCTCTAGTAACTACTAGCAATTCCCATGGGGTTTTTTTTGGTTTGGTTTGGTTTTGTTTCACTGAGTTTATGTTCTCTGGTATCTTCTGTCATCTTTTGCAGTTCTGCTTTTACCCTCATTCTTTTTGTTTCTTCTCTATTTTCCTGTTATTTCTGAAACTGAGTTATCTTGTATTTCTGAGGAGATACATTTCTCCAAGAGACTTTCAAAATGTAGCCAGAACTTGTGTTTTATAATCTAACAGAACTTTTTCCATTTCTCCCCAGACTTAAATCTTTTTTTTTTATGTTTTTCTGTTGTTAAAATAACTTCTCATTTGGCTTTCCTCTCTACAAATTTCCGCTGAATATGAATGCCATCTTAGCCTGAGCGCTTCTCTCTTCATAATCAAATTTTGATGTAGTACTTCAGAAGGGTAACCTCTTTCCACAAAGATCAGTTCTTGTGTCATCAGGCATTCAGTTTGCTACCTCAGGTTTTCAGAATATATTCATAACTCTCTAAATAGAAAAGGAGAGTTTCTGGCAGACTGCATGTCCTAACGAACTTCATGCTTCATCCTGATTTATTCTCTTCTTGGTAAATTTCAAAAGGCAGCACATTATCCTATCTGACACGTGGGATTCCCAAGTGGTCTGAGCTCAGAAGGAGTTAGGTATATCATTCTTAATGATGTATTTTATAACACATCAGTTTAAACAACTCAGTTTGAGTTTTTAATTTTCCTTAAATTATTTTTCTCTCCATTTTTAAAAAAGACAATAACATGTCCTGGTGTTTGAAAACGTAGGCTTTTTGCTTCTGGCACACTTAGGACTTTTTAAAAGAGTTGGAATAGCTTGTGTCTTCAAAGACTCTCATAAATCTTTGTCACAGAGAGGGAGAGACATAAGAAACATTGAAAATTATTTTTTGGCTCTCTCCTTTCCAGAATTGTTATAATTTTATGAAGAGCTATCCCTGGATAATTCATTTATCAGCATGATAGTTTTATTGTTTTTTAATACAGTGTTTATCAAATGAGAGAGGAAAGCCACCTGGAGTACTTGTTTGTTGGCTGACAGTGCTGGTTGCAGCAGTACAGTTCTGTACAGTCAAGGGGTTGCGGAGAAAGACCAAATGGTTTGTTTGATCCCCATTTTTATATTGCTCTAGTTTTGGTTGCCCTTCTGACTGCCCGCAAGAAAGATGGCTATGACATCACTACAATTTTTAAGACCGTCTCCTTTTGTTTGTAGAGCTCTTCAGTCAGAAGGTCACTGTAGGTGTCTGCTCCAGCTGTTGCTCTGTTCTTTCGCACTCACTGCATTTATACTCACAATGTCCTTTTCTTTATAGTTGTACCATTCCCCCAGCCTGGGACCACGAGGGGGTCATTTGCCACTAGAGTTGCTTTTATAGGTTGAAGGTTCAAAGGGTGTTTTATCCCCTTCATACACACAAACGCAGCTTGGAAAGAGGGCAAGAAAAAGGGCACCCCTTCCTCCTTTCTTCTGTCATGGAGACAGATGTCCTTTAAAATTGCACATAAGACACAGCCTGCATTTCAGATCTGGAGTCAGAGTGTTTGCTGTTTCCTCAGACTGCTTGCATTACTGGAATGGCGTAAGGTGGTTGAGACTTGCAGTGTATCGAGGGACAAGGAGGAACAACAGGGAGGGAAAAACTTTCTCTCATCCTCCAACTCAGGCACTGTTCTGTTGGAAACTGGCCTGCTGGACCCAAAGCCAGCTTTCTGCTAGCCTTGCTCTCCTGTGAGAGCTGGTGCAAGGCTTCTTCCTAAGCTCTGATGCACACCAAGGGATGAGGCAAGATTTCTGGGTAGAAATCAGTGAGTCTGATTCCTATTCAAGGCAATGCTCTCTGTCGCCTGTATGATAAAATCAGGCTCCGAACAAGCAGAGATGGTTTCCCAAACAGGACCCAAAGCAGGGTTTCTGCCATCCGCATGCATCTAAATTCCTGCCACTTGCAGTGAGTCTGCAACTCAATTGTCTACTGACATTTCCAAGCTTCACCTATCACTTTTCCAGCAAACTTCATCTGGATTTCAGGTTGCCCATAAAACTTGAAAGCAGGTTTAGTAGCAAGAATTTACAATGTGAACATCTAGTTAGAAGAGATTTTACTGGGCCCCTTTAATGGAGAATCTTGCTTTTAAAAATGAGTAAATAAGAGCCTTTACCTCTTTTCCTCATGAAAGTTCATTGAAAATATGAACAGCAATAAATCAACTGCTGAGGAAAATGGTAATGTACAGCTGGGCTCCACTCCTGCATAGCAATGAGACTGGAAAAATCACACACATTTCCTTTTCCCTTCTGCGTAAATTGACCTTGTAAAATTTAAGCTATAACCACCCCCCCCCAAAAAAAAAAAAAGCCTTTTAGTCCTGCAAAATCCTGGGGAAGGTTCAGTCTATGGGAGTGCAAGTGTCAAAACAGGAGAGGAATTATTTGAAAATAATACAGAAAATACTTCATCACATCCAGCCTTGTTTTCCACTCCTCCTGTGTAAAAAGAAAAGTTCTGCTTATTAAAATGGTCACCTTATACATGAAAACACTTTTAAACCATTCTGCAAAACTGTGCTTATGTAGAGGATCTGGCACCCACATTCACTTGTCTAATGTATGCTGACAGTGTTCATTTATAAATATTATGATAACCAGGGAAGAAGTCCTGTGTTATTTATTTCTGTTTGTTTGTTTGGGGGTGTGTGTTGGGGGGGGGGGGGAAGGTTCTTACTGAAAGACCAAATGGTGTTTAGATTTTGTGAGGGAACTTCATTTGATTTCAGGGCATAAATTCATCCTATATTTGCGAGGTCATTTCCCTGAAAACAACTGGGTACAGTGAGCATGTTTTGCTTATGTTGTAATATTTCTTAAAGTAAGAAAGTTGAAACAATTGCTTACTGTACAGCCAGCATTACTAAATGAGACATCTGATTGTTTCTCTCATTACTTAATTACAGCTCCTCCTCTCTCTGGGTAGATGCAAAGGGGTTTTCTAATTTTTTTCTTAATTACAGAGCAGGCCACAGGTCAAAAGGTGAAGGTTATCCAAGCTGATTTCACTAAAAATTCAGTATATGAGAATATTGAAAAAAGTCTGCAAGGCTTGGATATTGGTGTTCTGGGTGAGTCATTAAGGTCTGTTAATTGAAGAGTATTTTATGGCTGCAGTGTATTAAACAGAGAATTGTACAAATGATGTGTTGTAACAACTTGTTAGCCAACAGTTAAAATCAAGCATATAGCTGCATAATGCATTTGAGCATTACTTATCATGAACAAGTTTTAAAAGTGAATTAGGATTCTCCAAAAGCTTCCTGTTTCTCTGTACAGTGGCTTCTGTACTGTGAAACCTCTTCTGCCACTTTATAAGCAGCATCCAGCTTGTGGGGTGACTTCTTCCCTATTTGGCCTCAAGGAATTAATTTTCACTATTGTTTTCTTTACAGCTATGTGCAATTCTTACATTCAGTCTGAAAAGAGCCTGTGGCTAACACTAATTGGCACAGTCCATGCAGCAACAATGAAAACATGGGGGTTTTGGAAGTTTTGTACGTTTGGTTGGTTGGTTTTTTTTGGGGGGGGGTGAAGAAAATCATCCTTTTAATAGTGAAACAAAGGAAACAACAACAAAGCACAAATAAACAAACAAAACTCTGAACTGTAGCAACAGGCTATTTTTCTGTTCCCTGAAGTCAGCACTGATCAGTGTCAGTGACTTCAGTGAGAACAAGACTCGATGCTAAACAGCATTTCTCTTCAAATACAACTCAAAAGCTCCTGGTTCTCAAGGAGAAGCCATTTGTTTAACTGGTTGAACTATGTACTTTGTCTAGATTTGGTTCTTATCATTATATTTCCTTTGATTAGTTAACAATGTTGGAATGCTTCATAATCCTCTTCCGTGCCGTTTCCTTAATGGACCAGACATAGATGAGGTAGGATTACTCTGTGGGTTTCTACTTCCAATACAACAATGAGGAATTGTAATTCCATTTAACAAGGGACAGATTCTGCCTCTGCTACAGTCAGTGTGTATTTAACTATTCAGTTGAGTGGGGAAAAAACTGGGCCTGAAGAAGTGTATTTTGATTTGTTTTTAATGCTCAGAGGAGCTTGCAAGAGAAAAAGAATGGTAGATTTCAGCCCAGTGGCAGCAAACACCCAGCGATAGAGGGGAGAGCGCAGCTGGCCTGGTTGTACCAGGGATCAGCAGCCACTCTGGCTCACCACTCACCTGTAATGTAATGGGGTCCAGCCTGGTCACAGCCACAGCTGAAGTGCTGGGTTCTTGTTAGTATTATTAAAACTTACTTCCTTTGGAACACGATTGCTTAACTGGGGGGGGGGGGGGGAAAAAAAAAAAAAAAAAACACCTTATTTAAACACAGCTTATTTGGGGGGGAGGGGAGGGTTAATTTATACATGTATAATAATTTGACAGGATGGAGGATGTGATCACGTTTTTCACTGCCTTGTTGTTATTCACCTCTATAGTATTAGCCATGAAAAAAACCCCCAGAATTTCTAAATGAGAGTTTCCTGCAAAATTTCTCAGGACCCATTCAGTCTATATTTCATCACCTATCACAAATCAGAGATCCCTAAGCAGGCTGCTCGCTTGAGAGCTGCCGCCGTATGATGGCATCTCTGCTGCCGCTGCTACCACTTGTGTTTGGTTGCTGGTGTTGGGAGCCTATCTCTGCATGGCAGTGCTTCCACTGCACGGAGGGGCTACCTCTGTCACTGAGAGCCACTCAGTCTCTGCCTGGCACCTCTGTACTCTGTCGTCTGTGTGCAGCCAGCTTGGTTTGCTGGTGCCATCACTGCCTGGACGCCTTCCAGAGCTTCCAGCTCTCCCCGCATGCAACGACGCGGCTGGGCAAAACGGAGGGCACAGAATCAAAGGGATGCAATGCAGATTTGAACAGCGTGTTTAAAATAAAATTCATTGGGACTTACTTGCCTTTGAGTGCCCCACATCGTAGGCACAGTCAGTGACAACTCGGGGCAACCTAAGCAGCTCTAAAAGCAAGAAAGCTTTCCAGTTGGAATTGCTAGCTTTGTTTCCTAGATAAGCTGCAAACTCTCTTGAGTGTGTCAACAGTGAACTTACTGTTTTCTTGGTTCCTGCAGAACCTCATCAACTGCAACATTATTTCTACTACAAAGGTATGTGACACACTCGCATCTATGTTACATCTGCAATGTACTTTACTGGAAAAAAAATTAGTCCCTCACGAGAGTGACCGGCTAGCTTTCCTGTGTATTTTCATTTAATTTATCAGCAGATAGTAATTTTCAGCAGGATTGTCAGCATTATTTTAAGGACCCCATCTGTTTCTACTGCCTATGAAATATTTTTATTAGAGCTGACTGAAAACATTTTAACACAGTTGCTTGGTTGAGACACATTGTTACACTGCAGCTGAAACATTTTGCAAAAACACATTAGTTTTGGTAAATGGGGATTTGTTTCAGAATTAAAATCTTCAAGACAGGAAGATCTGCAGTTTGACTTTTTGCACTGCACTTGCATTTTTTTGTCACAGTTCTGTTCTGCAAAAATATTTTTGTACCAGGGCAGGACAGAAACTGAAGGAGCTGACTCTTAATTCTGTATTGTTACCTCTCAGTGCTGGTTGGCTACTTCCCTTACAAGAACAGTTATGTTCATGGTTTCCACCTCTGATTAAGATTTGTATTGCTCTGCTGTTTGCAAGCAGCATGGTAACATGAATAAGAGCAGAACAAGAGCTTTGTAGATCATCTCAACCTTGGCTAATATCTTTCTAAACATGACATGAAAATTATCAACACATGTTCATCTTTCTTTGGCTAGCAAACTTCACATCCAAAATTTGTCCTTGCTGCTTAATGACTTCAGGTAGTAAATCATGTAATATCAGTCACTTGAAACAAATTCTTCCATAGTTTGGTGAACTTCCCACTCCTAGGTTTTGTTCTATTTATACATCAAAAGAACAGAAATACCTGCAATATCTGAATGCTACATATATATGCATCACAAAAAAACAGGCGAACATTTTGTACCCTCTCAGTCTGGATACAAAAGGTTTCTCCCTTTATCATTTCCCAGCTTACGCATACCTGAGAATCAACCTCTTCTGCTTCACCAGGGCATGGGGATTCCTATCCCCCACTGCTGCAGCCATGTCCTTTTCAGTCTTTCACGAACATTCATTCACCTTCCTCCAAAATACAAAGAATAAATCATGCTCCTAACCAGCATTCCTCATGGTTAGGTCCAAATCATCTTTATATCTGTTTGGGTATTTTTTCTCCCCTCTCTGCCTTGATTTCTGTAGGATCCTGCTCACCACTTCTTGCAGTGGGATGCCCGAGCTCCAGGTATTCCCGGCTACACAGACGTTAGCAGGATTTTCAGCACTGCAAAAGCAGGACCTTTTCCCATGCTTTCCACTTTATTTGGAAATTCCCCTTCACCCAAGCTGATGTGACCTACCTGCATTGTTAATCTTTCTGAAAATGAAGCTTGTGAACCCCACCCTGCTCCTACTATGCTGTTGTGCACAATGACACTACTGAAAATATAGGGAATTATCAAGGATTGAATTAAGCTGCATCATTCATTTGCACTATTTTTCATTACTGCCCTTTACAAGTTAGGTCACACTCTTATCCTGAGAAGATTCATACATTATGTGTGTTTTTATAAAGAGTCAATAGTATGAGTATGAATTCCCTAGGGACTTGGGCTAACTATCAATAATACTCTTCAAATACAACAAAGAGAAGCAGATTTCTTACCTAAAAATGGATTTAATTTAACTTTAAAAATCATAATTGTGATTAAGTCTATTGCTAAAATAAAAATAGATGATTAAACAATGAGCATCAAAAAGATCCTAAAGCTCTTTTTGGTTGCAGAAAAAAACATTGTCTTTTCATGATTTTCTGCTATTTCTGGTCCAGGTAGAGCCAGCAGTGAAAATACAAAAATGCTGTGAAGTTGAATTTCCCTTACAGTTATGATTCAGTATTGAAGAATGATGAAATTCAGATGCTGTTGAAAATCTTTGGATAAGCATAAGACTTTCACTGCTTAGAAGACTAACCTTTGGAATTTTTTGAAAATTCAGATGATTTGCAGGCTGTTAGAATTTCAAAAATGTTTTCCAAAACTTTGAATGTGCCACATTTTAGCTATTTGAACATATGTATACAAGTGTCTGGGGCTTAAGCAAGTGGAAAATCTTGTGAATAAAACAAGATCAGTTGAAAAATGCAATCAGAAAGAGGGACAATAGATATAATTCTTAATATACTTGTCTTACAGATGACAAAAATCATTTTGAAACAAATGGAGACAAGGTAAAAATAATTTTTTCTAGAACTTTCAATAGCTTTTAGCTACTAAGGCCAGTTTATTTGGTGGTAGCTATGCTTTTTCATGATTAACTTCTGCATTTTACACTATGTCAATCAGTAAGGTTTCTTCTGTTGCTGTTAGTGCTGTGTGAATGAATGGTGGGAACTACCACAAATTGTCAGTCAACTGTAGAACAAGACAGAAAATATAAAATATACATCTGTGCGCAGTAAAAAACATGCAGGTGTTGCAGAAATAAAATAGCATCTGATGGGTCTAATTAGGCAAGAAACAGCATTTGAATATACTGTCATATTCTTCTAAGAGTGGTAGCTATGCTTGGAATAATACTTTTCAAGCTCTGGAAATACCTGTACTACACCAGACAGTTTAATTCAGCTATGCAATTAAGGATCCTTTTTCTCCTTTTAATACAATGTGTATTTTAGACATGGGGGTCCTCAAACCAGAAGTTAAGGTCTTCAGATGGATTTTCTAGAAAACTTTGTTAACTACTGCATTTTAGAGGCCAGTGCATGCTTTTTGTTTTGGCAACAAAATAAGCTCTTACTCTTTAATTGTTTTGTGGTTGTTTTTTTTTTTTTTTTCCTGGTTGTTGCTAAATGAATTGTTTTTAGTGATTTGTACAGGCAGTTGTGAATAGGGAAGCTAAAATAACAGATGCATGGAGCAGGAAAAAGAATGTGCTGGCTAATGAGGAAAGGGGACCTACCAATTACTTAGAAGCATAAAATCTTTCCTCTGATGGCATTTTTTTCTCTGTTAGATGTACAATAGCATGTGCAATGTTCCCATGGTTCTGATTGCACTAGACATTTAAATTTCACTTATGACATTATTCCTAGCTGGTTTAGACTTAGTTGCACCTAACTAAACTGTAAAAATTGGATCCTTTGAAAGTGTAGTCTACAGTATAATAGGAGAGGTATGCCTTCAGCGGGGAGGGGGGAAGTTGGTTTCCACTTGTGAAGGCTTTAACTATAATACTGTCAAATGTAAACTGAATGTAACTGTTCAAATTAAATTTCAGACAGAAGGGTCTTATTCTGAATCTGTCCTCTGGTCTGGGTATTTTCCCTTGCCCATTATACACAATGTACTCAGCTTCTAAGGTAAGTCTTTCGCATTGCTTTATAAAGAAATCCCCATCAAATGTTTACCAAAGTGTTTGTATCAGCAATACAGGTCCAGGTTTTCAGGACATAAATCAGTGTTGCTCCACTGAAATAATGAAGTAATGTAAATTAGCACTAGCCGAGAACTAAGAATCAGTGAAGCTATGTAAATGAAATCTGGCTGAAGGTATATCTGATGATTGGAACATTTTTGCCTTTAATTAAATAGTATTATACCAGTGCTCACAACCTATCCTCATTCTGGGAAATGATGACTTTTACCAGGCTAGCTTAGCTAGTTTACTCAAAACTGTAGGTGCACAAAAGTGCTAGATTTTGCTTATGGAACCAAGAATAAAATTCCTGGTAGGTGGGTGGTGAGTTGCCTGACTTCATAGCTTTCACTTTGAAATTTTGCTCTGGATTAAAACCCCAGAGCTTATAAAAATGAGGAGTGAATGATTTTTACTGAAATTCCAGAAGCAATTTGCTCAGCTCAGGTTTGCTTCCGATGAAAAATTCTAACAATATTTGCCTGAACATGGCTAAAGTTCAGCTTGGTAAGAAAAACCTAGTTATTCTTGGTAAGAAAGTCTAGTTTTCCATTTCCTTCTCTTTTTAACATAAGTTTCTCATTACTCAGAACTTGAACTACATTCAAATCAGACAATTTTAGCTCCTTTAAAAAAGTTTAGGCAATGTTTTTTCAAAGTGATATGGTACATTTGTTGGACTTCTTTCATTCTTGGCTATTTTTTACCTTTGTTTCTTTTTAATGGACTTTTTTTGCAATGCCCTGAAAGGAAACTATTTTACATGTCAGCAGATAGATGTTTCATGCAATATCACAACACTATTGGTATTTAAATTGTAACATGTGTCAAGTGATGGCTTCAAAACTGTCATTTTTTTCTCCTTAGTAGGAGTTTTATATTTCTAATTACAGAGGAATGATCCAAAGTTGTCAAGTTTCTGAATATTTCTCAAAGTTCTAACTGCTAAAACCAGTCTTAGAAGAAACTCAACTTTTACACAAAGAAGTTAGTATATGCATACTGTTCATGGTGTGGAGAAAAACTTAGAAAGATAAACCTTAAAGGTTGAAGCTACAACCCCCCTCCAAATTCCCAAATACCTGACTTTGAAAATCATATTTGTAGGCTATGCTAATAGGTGTACAGTGAAGGCAAGAGTTGTATTTTGCTTTTCTTTTTATTGCAAGAGAAACAGCAGTGTAAGTGTTGAACTGGGAGGGTAGGTGTCAGCCAGAGATGAAAGCCACATGAAACAATAGCTAAAATAAATGGGACTCAGGTATTTATATCTCTGCATTTTCATAAGCGTGACAAAGCTTTCAGTCCAGTCTGCAGTAGTACTTGTTTTATGTCTGGCTTGGGCCAGTGCCAGGCTCCATCTTTTCTGGTGCAGATAAAGAATCAATCTTGCCATTGCTCATGTGCACCAGCAGAAAATGTGTCTTGAAAAGTTCATTTCTATGTTTTTCACCACTGCACTGTGCCTTAGGTTGTGTGATGGCCATTTTTATTAAGGGCCTGCTTACACATATTTGTGAGCATATGTGAAAGTACATAGTTTCCTATGCTAATGTTATTTTGTTTTATCTTATCCTAGGCTTTTATAAGCACTTTCTCCAAAGCACTACAAGCAGAGTATAAGGCAAAGGGAATTATCATACAGGTGATGGTATATCTTGATGTATTTGCCTTCATTTTAACAAATTCTTCAAGAATATCTGAGATGCCTAAATCTGTATAGTGTAGACAACCTTGGGGAAGTGCTGGGTGACACTGTCAAAGCTCTGTCTCCTCCCTGTATGCAGCTTTTTTCCTTAGTCTACCATAGTACCATTACTTATCCCACATAGTGCCTTAATCCATTGCAAAGATCTGTTATAATTTGTCAGATGCTGTGGGATTCTGCAGAATGAATGGCCTTATGTAAAAGTTAGATGACATTACACCATTATTATGATTTCTTATTTTAGGTAGTGGCTCCTTACAGTGTTTCTACTCCGATGACAATGTACCAAAAACCCGGGCTTATTACAAAGACAGCAGAAAAGTTTGTTAGTGAATCACTGGATTATGTCACCTTTGGAGATGAGATTTTTGGATGTTTAGCTCATGAAATGCTGGTAATTGAATTTGATACTGTGTAAATGGGTCCCAAAGGCTAAACCAAGGCTGTCTGGGCTCAGCAGCTGCTTTTTACTGATTTCAGAGACCTTAAGGTTGGACATCAAATAAGAAACAGTGGCTAGGTTGTTAAGGCTAATATGGCACCAGTAAACTATGAAGGGAGGAATACACAAGTAAAGCATAGTGGTATCAGCACAGTGTGGCTTTCTCCGCTTTTGTGTCTTGAGCTAAGCTCAGTTTGATATCTGGTTAGTCTTTATCGTTTCTCTAGCTGCCTGCTTTCACGACCCTATTAGGAGCATTTCTGAGACCCCTACTCCTTTATAAAAATGGGCCAGCAGATTCAAAAGTTATTAGTGGGGAAGGGGAAGGACATAAAACCAGACTGTGCTATCACATAAGCATCATTTCCTTAGGATATCAAGCTAACAAAATAGAATAAATATTTATACATGGCAGCTGTTAATGATGAACATTAAATGGAAGTATAGGGAAGAGAACAGATTTGCTGAAAACTGAGAGGAATTAACATTTCCCTCTAAGAGAAATGCATATACTGAAAGTATAAAGTAAAAGTTTTTGCATTTGCTGTTTTCTATGACCTTTCTGAATACTCAGTTAATTTCTCTCAAGACGTTTCTATAACCCTTTGCCTTTGTATTGTTTTTGCTTGATTATTCCAAAGGCGTGCGTCCTGCAGTTCGTCCCTTTATGGGTGTTCCACAGTGACAGAATTCAAGAAGCAGTCCTGCATGTATTTACCAGTTATCTGAAGAAGAGGTGGAGGAACCCCTAACAGAGTCATTTTTTTTTCAGAAGACATGCAATGTGAAACCCCAGCAGGATGCATTTTACTATGTCTTTGTGTGTATGAATGTGGAAGGAATCAAATGAGTTTGAGCCATAGCTCCATCCAAATCACCTATCAAGTGATAAATGATTTGATCCAATGAATCTATTAAGTAAATTCCTTTCTGTCCCTTTCCAAAGACCATAAAATTTGCTAGAGCTGTTCCAGTAACTTCTGTAGGCTTCAGATAGGTTCTAGGAGATTTACGTTACTATTTTAACATAAGCTTGGAGGCCACAAATATTTACGCTTATTTGATGTTCACAAATAAAATAATTTGCTTTAATTCCAAACTTGTTCACAGTGTATTTTGATGCTTTCAGTGAGTGTTTTGTGTCTTTGGTTTCTTCTGAAAAGGCAAGGAAACTTGCAAGAAGAAAAAAAGAAAGCTTTCAGAGTCTAAAGTACACATGGGACCTTTGGAATACTGCAACCTTAAAAAACGTATTTCTGTCCAGAGCCTGTGAATGACTTCATCCTCTGAAATATCTGATATGGGCTGGAGGAGGCAGGAGCACAGGCAAATATATGCAGTAATTCTACCTTTCTGGATGAATCCAGAAGGCAAAACTTTCATTGTAGATACCTGTGAAGATCATACTGGGTGCTATTAAAAAGCATTTCAAGTCCAATGCAATCATCATGCACGGTCAACATGGGTTCACAAAGGGAAAGTCCTGTTTAACTAATTTGATATCCTTCTATGATAAGGCCATTCACCTAGTGGATGAAGGGGAGGCTGTGGATGTAGTTTTTTCTTGATTTTAGTAAGGCTTTTGATATTGTCCCTCACAGCATCCTTCTGGACAACTGTGAGATGAGCAGGTACATGGTGTGTTGGGTGAAGGGCAGAGCTCAAAGGGTTGTCGTGAATGGGGCTGGTGACTGGTCACCAGTGGTGTTCCTCAAGGGTCAATTCTTGGGCCAGTTCTGTTCAACATGTTTATCAATGATCTGGATGCAGGAGTTGACTGCACCATTAGCAAGCTTGCTGACGACACCAAACTGGGAGGTGCTGTTGAGTCTCTTGAGGGACAAGAAGCCTTGCAGAAGGATCTAGATAGGTTGGAGCGTTGGACAGTCATCAGTGGGATGAAATTTAACAAGTCCAAATGCCAGATTCTGCACGTGGGATTCAGTAATACCAGACACAAGTATAAACTGGGGGAGGAGTGCCTGGAGAGCAGCCCTGCGGAAAGGGATCTGGGTCTGCTGGTGGACAGCAGGCTCGATGTGAGTCAGCAGTGTGCCCTGGCAGCCAGGAGGGCAAACCGCATCCTGGGGTGCATCAAACACAGTTTAGCCAGCTGGTCAAAAGAGGTGATTATCCTGCTGTATTTAGTGATGGTGCAGCCTCACCTGGAGTACTGTGTGCAGTTCTGGGCCCCACAATTTAAGAAGGATGTTAACGTCCTTGATTGCATCCAGAGGAATGTGATGGTTTTTTTCACCACAAAGCTGGTGAAAGGGCTGGAATGTTCTATGAGGAACAGCTGAGGGCTCTGGGTTTGTCTAATTTGGAGAGAAGGTGGCTGAGGGGTGACCTCATTGCTCTCTGCAGCTTCCTGAGAAGGGGAAGTTGAGAGGGAGCTGCTGAGCTCTTCTCCCTGGGATCCAGCGATACCATCCATGGGAATGGCTCAAAGCTGCGCTAGGGGAGGCTTAGACTGGACATTAGGAAACACTTCTTTACTGAGAGGGTGGCCAAACTCTGGAACAGGCTTCCTAGAGAGGTGGTCGATGCCCCATGCCTGTCAGTGCCTTAAAAAGAGGCATTGGGATAATGCCCTTAATACCAGGCTTTAACTTTTCATCAGCTCTGAAGTGGTCAGGCAATTGGACTAGGTGATGGTTGCAGGTCCCTTCCATCTGAACCACTCCTATTCTATTCTATTCTATTCTATTCTATTTAATCAGATGTAATTCTGTTTGTTAAAAATCAGGAATTTAAATGCATCTTCTCATTTTGCAGGTTTATTTTACTTCTGCATTTCAAAAAGCTTTTTTTAAAGCTGCATTAAGATAGCAAAGACCTTATTAACAGACATAAGTATATGTTGGTGGTTTTTGGTCAAAAGTGAGGAAGAGTCTCTGTAATCTTTGCTACACAGGATGGAGAGGAATCACAAAATGTATCCTACTGGCTCCAGAGATTCCTGTCTGCTGCATTCGAGCTAGTGACATATATGGGCAGCAACACATAGACTTATAATACAGCACCATGGGGGTCCAGCTTTCCGCACATGCCTCCTATCTTGTTGCTGTAATTCTGAAAAAGAACAACTAAGGATTGCACTGAGATGTCTGAACTGAAATAATGAAAATTGTGATACATAAAATGAAATGTATCTTTCCTGCACTAAAATCAGATCTGATCTAGGTCTGCACTCATAAAAAAATAACCTTATTCACATGGGTTCCTAGGTCCTGCCATTTAATTCAGTGAAGCTGCTGATACACTTACATTCTTTCATACCAGAATTGGAGATGGAGAAGTAGCTCACTTAGAGATCAGTATTGCTAAACCCTAGTGTTAAAAAAGGCTTGGCTCACACCTAAAATGCTGATATTTTAATATACTGTAAGTATTCTGTATTTCTGGTTTGGATTTTTTTTGAACCTTTGAAATTCACATGTTCAATGCTTTTTCTGTGCCCCCCCTCCAAAAAAACCCTCAAACCCCACAAACATTTATTTTATATATAATTGGATAAGCTCCAATTCATACCTAATGGCATGATTCTAGAATCTGGTGCTTTAAGGAAAACACAAGCAAACATGGATCTTAATAAAATTATGTCAGTGACAACATTATCATATCTCTCTGGAGATGGGATTTTAAATGAGTCTTTTGACTGTGCTGAAAATGAAATCCTGTCTTTGAATAAAAATAGTATCTGAGCCGTACTCCTGAAGGACAGTAGAAAGTGTTGAGGTGTGGAAGCGCTGCAAAGTTGCAGCAGCAGTGTTTCCATGGGAGGTTGTCCCTGTGTGGAACCTTTCTCCAGAATTCCCTGAGACAAAATAGCTGCAGTTACATCTGTGGGGGATAAAGTTTAATAAATATCACCTCCGGCCCCCAGAAGAAATTATGCCGACTAGTTTTAATGGTCTGTAAGTGGAAGTTTTAACTTCCACTTTGTGCATGTGGAAGTGTATATTTCAAGATAGGTTTGCTGGTTTTTAAGGATGGAGCAAGGCAGACATTTCTTTTTCGTGCTCTTAATCATCATTAGAAATAAAAGCAGTGGAGAAATTTTTTTTTTAAATCAATTCTGTGATTCAGGAGCAAAAGTATCACTGATTCTTAGAGTATGAAATCAGTTCAGTCTTTTCAAAATGTTTTCTAATTAATTCCTCTTAGGTTGTGTCTCATCATCGAATGATGACTTTCTGTTCTCTGGAACAGGTAACCATTTCTTTCTATAACTGTAGAAATTTTTCAAAAACTCCTCTTGTACTATATGCCCATCACATCTCATAGCCTTTTTAATTAAAGGGCTTGTATATTTCTCTATGGCCTCTTGTATTTCATGCCTTAATATAAAATAATTCTTCAAATAAAACTACTACTGAATATTACCTCCCAATGTAGAAAACATCTTGAAGTGAAGAATGAGGCATCTGTGCTGGCTTTGCTGGCTTTGAAAAGCAAGAAATAGGAATGGTTCATCATCACTCCATAAAGACTATGTTTTCAAGTGATTAAACTATGTTCTTCTAAGCGTGATACTTGTGCAGCTGTGCAGAAAATGAGTATGGAATATCATATATGATACATATTACATGTAGGCCAAAAGCTGAAGTCCCTGGGGGAAATATGCATTCAATAGGAGGCCTGAGTGGGGAATGCAGAGTTTGTGTTTGTCATTGGTATAAGTGCTCATTTCTCCATGGATGTGTATTTTCAAGCAATATGTTCTCATATACAGCTGCCCACAGGCAGCTGTTAGCATTTGATTTACACGTGTGAGTAGTCCCAGCAGGGTGAGGCAACTCCTACAGAGCAGTGGCTGCTCCTGCTCTGCTCAAGTCAGTGAGGGTCACTTAGGGAATTCAGTGGCAGCAGCAGCAAACCTGAGAACTCCCTTGCCTGCAGCTTGTTGTGATACCACAAAACGTAGCTACAGATTCCCTTGTTTTTGTTCTGATTTTCACATGAGTTACCTAACTGATGCTAAAGAACCTGCTTTCACTCTCCCCACAATGACAAAAGATCTCTGTGTTTGCCGCTGGAGACAACATACCAGCTTATCTGACATACAGGGACCCCAGTAACACTGAAGTAGCATTGGCACATGCAGAGGTTAGTGAGCAATGGAGACTTGGTTTCCAAGGTTTACAAGTCCTGTAATCTATGACAAGTGACATTTCCATATTTCTTGTCTCACGTTTGTTTATGGTTGTGCATGCTACATGAGTCTTGCAGGCTGTTACTGAAGTTGAGCAATCAGCTCAACAGAGATTTGTTTCTCTTGAGGAACAGGAGGATCTTGTTACTCACTGCTCTTGGCTGGTCACTCTGTTAAAGTAGCCATGTTTTGATCTTTTGGCTCATAATTTGCACAATATTAGGCTGGGATCTTGCTGACTTGCAATCTTCAGTATGCTGTCTTTGACAGCACATTAATGTAAGGCTGCAGAGAGTGGGTTCTCCTCCTTCGGCCCTTCAGAGAAGTAGGTGGGTGGATCAGCCATCAGCGTGTAAGCCTGGAGGAGAAGAGGTCATGCCTTCCCCTTCATTTTGTAGGCCACGTTACTCCTCTGAGTGCTGAACAAACAGCTCAAATGTTGTATCATCTGCTCTTGCTGCTAAACTTGGACCTGGCTG